TGTCATAGTAAATGTATTTTAACAGTATCAGCTGTCAAAGAAAAAGAGAAAAAAAAACAGCCAGATTGTACTGTAGTTCAACCATCAAGTAAAGCAATCTAAATTTTTGAAGAATGACTTAAAAGAGAAATTAGTTATTTTGACAAGAGCTCCGACTGGATGTTTTTATGGACCATAATATAGTACAGAGGTTATTTATTGGGAGGTTTCTGATTTGGTCAAGTTTTTTAATTGGAGAATGGTCTTCTGTCGCCAGTTTTTTTTCAAATATATTGATTTGTTTTTTTCTTGCAGAGAATTTTCGAAGTTTGTGTCTAGTTCTACTTGGTATTTTCTTTGAGAAGGATCATTAGCATGGTTGATTTTGGAAGCTTAGGCAGTTCTTCCCAATTTGGCAGGGTGGGGAGTCTCTTTTGGGTTCACTGACAAGAAAGAATCTTTGGTAGAATGGAATGGTCAGATAAGAGACTTTGGTTTGGTAAGTGATTTTGAAATGGCACAAGAGAGGCCTTGGTTAATAAAGAATTAGTGACATGTTTTATTTTTATTTTCAGGAAAATCAATGACAAAGTGAAAAAAAAACTTACATGTGACATGTTTTGTTCTTTCGGACTTCATACTAAAATAATATTTACATTGATGTCATTACATGTGTGCATGGATGAAAGAAGGGGTTGAAATTTAAATTTATTTTAAATATGTGTTTTGGTATTCTATAGTCTATATTTTCTTTCATTTGCTTTTCAACATTTGAATTGTTCATGATTTGGAGTTTTAATTGTCAAATTTTTTTTTTTTTTTTTAAATCATTTCACAGTAAGGCAACAGTGCCACTAGAACACAGGGTTTAAAGGGAGTGAAAGTGAATGAGAAGATTAAAAATGGGAAGGACTGAAGAAAAGGTAAAAAAAAATAACAGGCATCAAGAAAACAGAAAATGGTGATTGGCATTGCCTTTAAATTTTTGAAGATTGTAGTTATCAGGAAAGGAAGAAATTAGAAGGGAATTCCACAGGTGGGAAGTGTGAGAAAAAAACTGTTCTAGTAGAAATGACAGTTGCATCTAGTTAATTCAACAATAAAGCAGGGAAGCCTATTTTCTAATCTAGTAGCATGCTTAAATTCATGTAGTCAGGGCACCATGGGAAAAAAAACTCATCCGAGCAGTTACCACAAAAATATTTATAGAACACACAAAGCAAAGTCATATCACATCAATGAGAGAGTGAGTGAAGAGAAAATGCCAGGTCAGGTCTGATTGTATTGCAGATACTTCTCTGGATTTTGTCAAGAATCTCAAAAAGCACAGCAGGAGTACCAGCTCAGATATGGCAACAGTATTCAATACATAGACAAATGGTAGATTTATAAACATGTTAAAATGGATTCTGACAAGAAAAATATTTTAGCACAACACACAGAACCAACCTTCCTTGCAGCAGACATAGCAATTGACTTGATATAGTCACTCCACTTCAAATCAGTGGAAAACCTAAGGCCAAAAATGTGCAGAAGTATCACTCTCCTGGAGTTCAGCATCAGCCATGTTGATAACAGGCAGAAAAGATTCTCTCTAGTGATTAATGAAAGCAGTTTTGTTTTGGAGGCATTAAAATTTTACAAACCATTTCTTAGTATTTTGTTTAGTTTTTGGAAGGCATTTTTCGCTATTCCAATGCACCTTCAAATTTCATCTTCACACTATCTGTCCTCTATTAAAACACTTCCTAGATGTTTAAATTTTTGTACTTATTTGATTTTGATATCACCAATTCACAGTTTTCATCTTGGGCCATTCAGATCAGTTGTTTATATCAAACTTATTTGGATTAGGCATGTTATATAGCTTAAAACATAAATATATCTATAAGTATTTGAACATGGTATAACTAACCCAAATAAAGTTTCAATTGAAGTCTAGCTAATTTCATGTTCCCTTAACCTCCATTATCATGAAGACACTAAAAATCTTAATTATAAAGAAAATGTGTCTACTCAAAATCTTTTGTGATATTTCTGTTAGATATTTAAATTAAATATAATCCAAGAATACATTATGGTAATCATTTTACAAGGAAAAGAGTACTACACTGTTACATGATATCTGTCCTCCTGTATGGTAGTGTGTGTTGAACAATCTCTTCAAAGATGAAGAGACTTGAAACAACAGAAAAGTGGCTCTACAGAAGGATGCTGAGGATGCCATAGACCATGTGAGCAACAAAGTTTTAGAGAAAATGGAAACAAAAAAGAAGCTTAAATTTCACATCAGGAGGAAACAGTTGAAATTTTTGGGCACATCATGAGAAGGAGGGCTTGGAAAATCTGATAGTCACAGGGACTAATTGTGAAGCAATAGAGACAGAGGGAAAAATGCATAACATACTTAGTGTGCTTGAGTAAATTGATTGTGGAACAGGGTTTAGAAGAAATAACAGAAATACAAAATCTATTAAAAGCAACAAAGGACAGGAAGTTGTGGAGAGCCATGATCACCTTTTCCCTGAGGGGACATGACAACTAAAAAAAACAAGAATTATTTTTTAATCAAGTGTGATTCAATAAATATATAGTTCAAATCTATGATTTCTTATTAAAAGTAAGTCATATTTATGGCTTCTGTGGCAACTAACTAAAATCTAACTAACTAAAAATTCCAACCTATGTATTGCAGATCTTCTGCTAGTCTATATTATATGAAATGTTTGTTTTGTTATATCTATATGCAAACTATAAATATCTAAAATATGCTAATTTAAATAATGACAAAATAAACTTTTTCAGTGGAGATAATTAAATACATCTCTTAATTATTTATTTCCATATGAGCAAAAGATGAGATAGACTAAGAAGGAGAAAAGACTAAGAAGGAGAAAAGACTAAGAAGGAGAAAAGACTAAGAAGGAGAAAAGACTAAGAAGGAGAAAAGACTAAGAAGGAGAAAAGACTAAGAAGGAGTAAAGACTAATTCAATGATAATTTTTTCCTTTCATTTTCCTTTAAAGTGTTGTCATTAAATATCTGTATTATTCTTAATTTATTTATCTTTAAATACATATATTCATATATGATAAAGCATCTTACTTAATCTAAATTTATTATCATTAAACCAAGGAAAAGAAAACTGTTCTTGAAATTAGCTTAATAATATTAACTTGTATAATTTTTGTCTTCTACCAAAAGGAAATATGAAATTTCACTTTATTAGGGACAAATTTAATGTTTCCTAAAGATCCAAGCACTTAACCACCATTTCCTTCACTTTTTTGTTTGAATACTTATATATTTATTATGCTGACTCTCTAGACTCTACAGTAGCTAAATCAAAAGTAAGAATAGAAGAAAAAAAAAAAATGGAGTTTTTAACTTTTTAAATTTTATCCCCAACAGAAAAGCTAAACAGTATTAGCCCTGAGATAGTAGTGTGGAAAAAAAAAATAAACTGAAAAAAAGAACTCAGAAAAATAAAACCCAGAAAAACAAAATAAAAAAAAAACAGCATGTCCCACTTGAGAGAGAATAAAGTGAATTGCCCCCACTATCAAACAAGTTCATGCCATTTGCAAACTTTATTAACTTTTATTCACATGACAATTTAACATCACATACATTTTTGACACATCAAATTTGCTCCATAATAACAAAAAACTAAATAAACAATTTCCAGTAATATTCTTATTTGAATATGAAATTATTTTCTACTTTTGCTCCTTATGTGCTTTCATACTTTTTTTTTTTACCTTTCAGACATTTGCTTTCTGTGGTCACAAAATTGGTTTATTTGGTTCTTGGAACATCCAAGAAGCCCTTGTGAGAACATGTGTGAAAAAGATAAAAGTAATAACATTTATTTATGTTTTTCAATGTTGGGGATCATTAATGTCAGTAGTGGAATTAGTTTTTGAAAACTGTACATTCTGTAGAATAATGACTTACATTATATATATATATAGTTACCCATAAAGTATGGTCATTTGTTTCCTATCATTTTGTGCATGAGAGGATTTTTCATGAAATTTTCCATGTGTATATTTGAATGATTTATTATAAAAACAGAACATTATTACTGTTGTATGTTTTAACCCATTTCCGTACACTAACACAGGTTGGAGAGAAAAAACAAAGACAAACAAGAAGGAAAAGATATCTAAGTATTTCAATTTCCACACATAATCCCATAATGACCAATTAAACAAAGACAAAAATACACACACTAACTACATCAGATTTTATTATATAAGTCTGTTTCGTTATAAAATTATTAATCAGCAGATGGAGGTAAAACTTTTGAAGATATATTTGCATAATAAATATGGCAATGTCTATTTCAGTTTATAAATATTTGCAATAAATTATTTGGCAGTGTGAGATTTTATTAGGCAACTTGAAAGGTATTCATAATATTGTAAATAAATACATATAAATAGTTATTGATATTTATTTTTTTAATTCAAGATATATAAATTTTGTCATGGGTCATAGGAAGGCTAATGCCTCAAAAGAGAAACAAGTTACTGAATAATGTAATTGCAAATGTGAAAATTGTGCAAAAATTGAACAGAGATCACAGAACATAGAATAAAAACTGAAAACTTTGCCAAAAACAAGGAAAAAAGAATCAACTGGCTTTAAAAATTTCAAAAACATTAAATATATATTGAAGAAAAAGGTGAACTGACCAATTAATTTTTGTGAATATAAGCAGACAGAATATTAAGATTTGATTGATTCATTTTTTATGGGTTATCAACCCTTTGCATATCATTTAAAGCTAGAAAATATTTTTAGCTTCTAACAATTATTTTTTTTTCAGAGACAATAATTATCGAGTAATTCAAATCTTAGTAATTAACCCATAGCTGAGGGAGAAGAAGTGAATTCATACTTTTCTCAAAGGTATTTGTGCATAAGTGAATATAACAAACCCATCTGAAATTGAAACTCTGCTCTCTGATTAACAATTCCAAGCCATTATCCATTGGACCACCTCCACATTCAAGCTTACAGAACCTAGTATTCCCAAGCAGTCACCCATCTAGGTACTGATCAGGCTCAGTGTTGCTTAACTTCAGTGATCATATGAGAACCGGTGTCTGAATCTGATATGGACATAAGCCTATAGAATATTAAGAACACTGACAAAAGATATGTAAAAAAAAAAACAAACATGTAAGTTGGGCAAAGCAGTACATGAAAAAAAATAATTAAGTATAGAGTTACATTGGATGGACTTGACAGATGGGCAAAAGGTTAGATCCTTCATGGAAATAATTTTCCTTATTTGGAGAATATTGCTTAGTCTATTTTACTGTTTATTTTTTGTAAATCAAAATATTTTCTTTTACAAAATCTTTTAAATTAGTTAAATTCATAGCATTATTATTCAATCATGAAATTATTTTTCCCCTACTTTTTGACACCTGAGAAAGTGTGTGTTCTAACATTAAACAACAATTCCAGTTTTGATCAAGGGAATTTTTATTAACTTTGTCTAGACAAGAAGTGTTTCATGGAACGACGTTAAGTGATGACGAGCTTGGAGAATTTCCCACATGTGGAATGTAGTATAATCCCATCCCCATTATTGTTTAGTTCACCACATTGTTAACATGAAGGTCATTTTGAATGGACTCACTTCCAGATCCTTTCACACAGGTTTCCCCCAAGGCTCTATCCTGAGTCCTACACTGTTTCTGCTCTTCATCATTGTCGTCAGTTTCCAACTAGGTATATATGCAAATGACACTACTATTTACACCTGTCTCAATAACAAATCCATCAGATCTGACAAAGGTAAACTGGCCGCTGCTCTTGAAAAGGACCTTCAATCAGTGGGTAACTGGGGCAGGAAATGACATGCAAATTTGAACACCTCCAAAACAAAACTGCTTTCATTTAGCCACCATAGAATTTTTTCTGCCTGCCATCTTCTTAGCCTCACATTTTCCACTGACTTGCAGTGAAGTAAATATATCAAATTATTAGCTGCATCTAATGCAAGGAAAGTTTAGTCACTGTGTTGTGCTAGAAAATTTTTCATGTCAGAATCCATCTTGCACACTTACAAATCTACCATTTGCCCAGACATTGAATACTGTTGCCATATCTGGTCTGGTGCTCCTATTGTACACGGGATTCTTGACAAAATCCAAAGAAAGGATCTGTTTTGTAATCGATGCTGACCAGGCATCTCTACTTCAGTCACTCTTATCAACATGACATGGTTTTCCTCTGTCAAATATTTTCATGGCAACTCTTCTGATGAGCTCTTTTCCCTGGTGTCTAAACTACATGAATTTAAGTATGCTACTAGACTGGCATCTAGATCCCACCCTTTTACTGTTGAAATAGCTGAATGTAACTGCCACTTCTACTTGAACAGTTTCTTTTCTCTCATTTCCTACCTGTGAAACTCCCTTCTGTTTCCTTGCTTCCTTGAAAACTACAATCTTCAAAAATTTAAATCGCTATTTTCTGTCTTCTTCAATCCTATTCATCTTCTGTCCATTCCTCAATTCTCCCTAGTCTTTGTCTTCTGTTTCAATTTCCCTTTCACCCTCTGCAACCCCCACTGCATACTACTAGCCTAGTGAATTTGGTGACACAGTAATTGTGAGTTCAATCTCTGGGCTGGGCAGTGTGTACTTGGCCTCTGTGGAAATAGGGTGTGCATTAACTGAGCAGTACTAAATAAAAACTAGATGAGAACCAGATAGTCAAACACCTGGTGAAAGCCAGAGAGTACAATGGCTGAAATGTTGTGATAACAACAAAAAAGATGAGGACAATAGTCTGAGTATAAATAATGTAAATAATAAATTAGCTTCTCCAGTAACCAAACATATTGGTTTTACTAATTCCTATTTTTGCAACTATTTGGCCACATTTCTTTGCTCAAGAAGAATTTAGTTTTATTTTGTATATGCTAGAGTTGGAGAAGCTGTAATAAAATGTCGTATTTTTATTTTCTCTAAAGTAAACTATTTGTAAATTTTTTCTTCTAAAATGTGATATTGCTGTGAGGTGAATAGCAAACAAATAGACTGTTGCTCTTATTAGTTGAATTATTTCCTTTTTTTGTATTTTGTAGTATCTTATTTCAATCAGCAAATAGTAAGAATATTAAATTCAGTTTGGAATTCCCTGTAGGTTAGCTGGATCGATATTCACCTGATGAAGGCACAACAGCTGAAATGTTGTGTTAACAACAACAAAAATGAGGGCAATAGTCCATGTATAAATAATGTAAAAAAAGAAAAAAAGAAAGAAGAGCATGAATGGTGGTAGCTTCCAAATAATAGTGAAAGGATTGGTGGAAAATTGGTGGACAGAGATGAATGAATTCTAAATGCTAAGCAGTCATCCTGGAACATTCAAGAGTTCTTTTTATACTATTTTTAAATTGAATGAATTTCATATGGTGTACATGTTTGCTTCTTATTTCACCATCTAAAAATGCTTAATATTATAACCTTCTTGGACTATTCCTTCAGTTACCATTCTGAGCCTTCAGGTGGTTTTCTACTTCCTTTTATTTTCTTTCACAAGTTTCTGTCAGCATGTGGCATATTCCCAAGCAAACTGTGCTTCTAACAATCACTACATTCAATTTCTTTTCATGAGCAAAGCTTTTCAATAAATTACATGACACACATTATAGATGTAATATATTTTTTTTATATTACTGAATGCCACCTAAAAGCCCAACTAATAAGAGATCAGCAACAGCACACCAAATTGTCTAAAATTCAATATTTCAGACATTTTTCAAGCTATCATCATCATTTTTTTCTTGGTTATTTTTATCAGGATATTTCTATGGATTTTGTTAAAATGCATTTAAAATTAAAAGGAGAGTTCTACATGAATGTAAAATACAGTTTCAGACAAAAAGGACATACATAAACCAATGATAAAACAAAGATACTAGCAAAGGTATTATTTTAATTTTTAGTACAGAGTGAGCAATACAACAACAGGACATATACTTGGGTTTCCATAGACTATGCAAAAGCGTTTGATGAGGTAACATACAAATATATATTTGAAACACTAGGAAAAACAGGATTTAAAGATAGTGGAACCTCCAATTCAGTTATTTTTCACTTTTTTCAACAAAAACATGTCTCAAAAATTTTCTATCTCCTTGGTTGTCAAGCAAGGAAACATGTACATTCCTGTTCATTTGCTGTATGTGTGTACATGACTCAGTCTGCCTACACCTCCTCAAGCATTAGTTCAAAGATTTTCATTTTAAATAATGTTTTTGTCTTATTTTTATTTAGTTTCATTGTTAAATAAGTCACCAGGGGTCCAAAGAAGGTTCAAAATATGTCTTTGGGGAAGTCACTGGGCTTGGATGTGGAAGATATGGTGGAGGACTACAGGGAAGACATCCAGCTGGAGCAGCAGCAAACAGCAGCTGAGGAAATAACTTTGGAGTAGGAAAGAGGGGAAAATGTGTCAGTGATTAAGAACTTTTTACCTGGGGATTCCCCTTCCAAATAATAACACCTCTCTTCTCTTATCTTACGTATGCCAACAAGAGTCTTCAATAAAAGTAAAGTAAAATTAAATGTTCATTTATTCTACTTATTTGTCATGGATATTTATTTCTTATTGTTTTCTGCATGTAAATCTTTAGTTATTCTGTATAAAATATATTTTTGCTAATATTTTTTGTGGAATGGATTAACTGGATTTATATTATTTCTTTTGGTAATATTACCTCAGATTTTGGACAACTTTCTGGAATGGATTATGGCCAATAACCAAGATCCCAGCTCAGTAGAAAAATCTAACATTTACTAGTATCAAACCGATCAAAACTACCATTGTAGGGAACAAACTGATAACTCTCAGTATACAAAGAACTGATACACCTCTATTAAATGGGCTGTTTCACTAGGAATATAAGGATCTATGGTATTGTTTTCGGTGGTGGGGGGTTCTTACTTTCCAGCTTCAGACAAACTTGTAAATATCTACTTGTATTGTTCTTGTTTAAAATAAACCCTTACACTTTTTAAGTGGCCATTCTAGTTATTATTTCAATAACCTCCCTGGATAACATTACAAAAACTACAGACAGAAAATAAATTTCACACACATTACACAAAAATAGAAGGCGGCATAAGACAAGGATTCATCTTCATACTGGATTTATTTGACCTAGAAAGCAAGGTGATCCTACAAGAAGTAGAACTACTATCAGGATTTATTGTTGATGGTAACAAATTTAATGACATAATATATGATGACACTATACTGATGGCAGACACAGAAAAATCACTGAAGGAACTCCAAGACAAGGTAATAAAGGAAAATGAGAAGAAAGAACAAACCATACAGAAATTCAACTGTCTGAGAAGTACATGGTCAGTCAAAATGATGTAAACACTAGTATGAAAGGATGAGTCAAAATTATGTTACCATTAGAGGAATCATTTATTCAGAGTTTACTGAACAGTCTCCACCAGCACAATTGATGCACAAAAACCAGTGATCAACAATAGAATTTAGTGCCTTGACACACATTTTACAGGGAATATTTGATATTACACCTCTTATTCTGTCCTTGAATTCTTTGATGTCTAACTTTTTTGCTACATACACAATCCTTTATCATACCCGATAACCAGAAGTCAAAGGGTGTCAGATCAGAGGAGTGTGGTGACTATACCAATGGTCCACTGCAACCTATCCAACGATTTGAGAAACTTTGATAGAGACAAGCATGAACAGTATGGGCAAAATGAGGTGTTGCACCATCCTGTTGGAAATACCTTGCTCGTCTGATTTGTAGGGGTGTGTTATCAATGGCAAACTCTTGCAGTATTTCTAAGTAAGCATTTGCAGTCACTGTTGGAGTTGTAAAGAAATATCGACCAATTAACCCTGTGACTTCTGGTTATGGGGTATGATACAAGTTTTAACATAATTTTGACTCATCCTGTATTATCACAGACAGAAGATTTCTGTGACACACAACTGCAAAAGGTGTTGGAATAGGGAAAAGTACTTTTCAAAAATTGAACAAAGTATTAAGGAACAGGAAATTTTCTTTAGACAAAAAAAAAAAAAAAAAGAGTTATTTAATATCCATACTCTTAT